GTATCTGCACAACAAACCCTTTGCCCACATCCCGACTTCTTCTTGATCCCGAGGGCAACACCTTTGCCCACATACTTCCTTCTATCACACTATCCACTCCACTATTCCATAAGACTATTATTAGTCTTCCCCGGACCTGGCACAATTGGTCCTCAACACTTCTTCTATTTTGACAGGTGACACTTCGTCATGCTCGTTCCTAGTTCGTTTGTATTATTTCCGTTCGCTTATTGTTCTCATGATATATCCTCCGTTCGCTTATATTTGTATTGCATATTTGTTCGTCATACCTTTTCTGTCATTCACATTATTCGTTTATACATTCCCCCGAACCTTCGCTATTCGACGATACGCATATACCCATTTGTTCTATCACTTTATTCGTGTTATGTTCCGCATTCGACTTAATTGTTTGTAAGACTTCCTTCCGCTTTCGTTCATGGACTTATAGTATATAAGTACATGTATCTTAGTTAGTTTTCTCCATTCGGAAATTAGCTCCTTAGCCCATTAAGCCTTATAGTCCTTAGTGTATATCATTTCTATAACTCGAGCCTAGTGCTCATTCCCTCTATATACTTCAGGCCTCTATTACTTCCGAATCGAATACGACCTTCGAAGATCAACTCCGAACTTTACCTCGAACCTTTGATCTTACTCCGAAGTCCTACCTTTGTTCGGGACTTCGTTCGAACTTCGTTTGAACACTTCGTTCGGAACTTTGGTATTCGAATCCACTCTTATATTGTTGGTTCTAATCTGTTCCAAATTAAGGACACGTACATTTCGAGGCGGCACAACCTACGACGTTGAAGCCAAGTCCTTCGGTTCTAACCCTTCATTCTTTAGTGTGACTTCGTTCGTAACTTCAGTCATGCTTTGGAACCCTTCGTTAGGATCAGCCCGTAACATGGCCACAACAGCTTACCACCCCCAGGCCAACGGTCAGACCGAACGGGTAAACCAGGAGTTGGAGCAATACCTGCGACTTTTTGTTAACCAACGGCAGGACAATTGGGACAAACTCTTACCCATGGCTGAATTCCAGTACAACAACCACGTTCACTCGTCGACCCAGCACACGCCTTTCATGTTGGATTCCGGACGGAACCCACGCATGGGCTTCGAGCCTCAACAGCCAGCCTCGAGGTTAGAGACAGTGAACGAGTTCAAGGATCGTATGCAGGAATCCCTGGAGGAGGCAAAGGTGGCCCTCACTAAGGCGAAGGACGACATGGCACAGTACTACAATCATCGATGGACTCCCCCTCCGGAATATCAGATTGGCGACAAGGTCTACCTGAATGCCAGCAATATCAAGACAACCAGACCATCTCAGAAACTCAGTCATCGCTATCTGGGACTGTTCAAGATCATAGGCAAACCCGGTCGACATACGTACAAACTCAAACTTCCGCTCGGAATGAGACGCATACACCCGGTCTTCAATGTCGTCAAGCTCTTGCATGCGCCCCCAGACCCAATTCCCGGACGGAAGTCGGATCCACCTCCCCCACCGGAATTGGTCGATGGAGAAGAGCATTATGAGGTCGAACAGGTGCTGGATAGCAAGTTATTCCGCAATCGTCTGGAGTATTTGGTTGAGCTGCTCCTGTACATATGATGCATCACAGACTGGTCATTATCAGGCAAGGGTGATGTATCATACTTGATCACTTATCAGTAGGCATGATATATCATGTACTGGTAATTGACCAGATGAAAAAAAGTGACCCAACTCTGAATTGAACCCAGGACATCTGCAACTTAGCAGACTGAAATTGTACACCTTGTACCATTAAGCCACCGACACTTGATACATAGTTTTCGAACTAATGCTATATAACCTCCACTTCTAAAAATAAAAATATTCGATATTTGTTATGATAGCTTTTACTATTCTTTATGCCTTTAGGAGTCAGCAACATATTTTCCCATTTGTAAAATTAAAATAAAATAAAATCATATCTGAGAGGGTCTGTGACCATTATGTTTATTCAATTTGCGAGGTTTTTAAATAAAATCTCTACTTTTCCAGCCATAAATTTTTTTCCAGATTGGTCTTTTTGTTTGATTTTGTTCAAGATTTATAGCAGCTAACAATGAATTTTTGGCCTGGTGAAAAATTCACAAAAAGGAAAGAAAGAAAGAAAAACAAAAAAAAAAAAAAAAAAAAAAAAAAAAAAAGGAAAAAAAAAAAAAAGGGAATGTAACATGGGATTAATTCACAAGCCTAGACACAAATTTAGAAAGGTAACATATATCTGTTTTCCAAATAGTTGTAGAATTATGAGGATATATATAATTATTTTGAAGGCTTGGAAACAAGTCCTAGTAGCCTAGTGGTATATCCCTGGTTCAAAGCTGCTGTAAGGTGTGTAAACTCTTGAGTTCAATTCTGGCTTTGGCCACTCTTTTTGTCTCTCCAATAAGAGATTGAGTTCTGATGGTTCATCAGCTATGATACATCACAGTGGTCTGATGAGCACCATGTCAGGGGACAACCATAGATTTCCGCCTGGGATTATTTTCAACACTAATAATCACCAGGAAGCAATTCTGGCCGGAAACTGTCAGTCCTCATTTCCACCCGGAAACTGTCAGTACTCTTTTCCGCTCGGATTCCCCCAGCAACATATTCACCAACTTCTGTGGCCAGAGAGTGGGAGGCTAGGTTGGAGACAGTGGGCTCCGCACGGAAGGGAGCCGCGTGGGTTATAGGGACAGGGCCGGTCAGTACAGGGTCGTCTACATGGGTTATGTTTCTTTTTCGTCTTAGTACCATCATTGTATTTTCTCTTATCTTTGATTGTACCTGACCTATTTCCTATTTATTGGGCTCACTCTAGTAGAGGCAATCCAAGACTTTCTCTTTGGATTTCCCCTCTACTAGGTGAGATTCCCTTCGCGTGTATTATTCACTTATTTATATACCTTTGGATTTCCCCTCTACTAGCTTGGCGTGACGTCCGCTCGGCTCCGAGGGTTGCCCTTACACACCATGCATGATGTATCACAGGTACACACACTGGTGTGTTTAGCGCCGGTCGGCGATCGGGATCGTTTCGTTGTTTCTCCGTTCGCTTCCTTTGTTTTCCTTTTCATTGGTTCATTCCCCTTTCCTTATTGTTTCTGAGTTCATCAGATCATTGTTCATTTTCCTTTCGGGGTTTACGTTCCGTTTCCGGACGGTATATAGTGGGCTCACTCTGGCAGAGGCAATCCAAGTCTTTCTCTTTGGATTTCCCCTCTGCTAGGTGAGATTCCCGTCGTGTGTATATATTTCATTCATTTATGTATCTTTGGATTTCCCCTCTGCTAGGTGAGATTCCCGTCGTGTGTATATATTTCGTTCATTTATGTATCTTTGGATTCCCCTCTGCTAGGTGAGATTCCCGTCGCGTGTATATATTTCGTTCATTTATGTATCTTTGGATTTCCCCTCTGCTAGGTGAGATTCCTGTCGTGTGTATATATTTCGTTCATTTATGTATCTTTGGATTTCCCCTCTGCTAGGTGAGATTCCCGTCGCGTGTATATATTTCGTTCATTTATGTATCTTTGGATTTCCCCTCTGCTAGCTCTGCGTGACATCTGCTCGGCTTCGAGGGTTGCCCTTACAATGACATGCTCATCTGCAAGGCCCGCTGGCAGTTTGGGCACAGTAGCGTTTGGACAACTGGACATGTCATGAGCATTTTGTAAGTTTTTCAACGCTTTGCCGTTCCCAGCTCGTTGGTTGACTGTATCCTCAGTATTATACCCAATAGTGAACCATCTGAATGTCGCATTCTCGATTTTCAATTCCTCCATGCCCAAGATAGCATTGCGCGTGAAGATGGAGACATCGGATGGAATTTTGTCTTAGTTAAAAAAAATGCCGCTAAGCGGTCTACGGATACCTTTGTCTAGTAAACCCACCTAAGATAAATAATCAACATGAAGATAGAAAGCAAAGGCTCTTACCTGGGCAAAAGCAATCATGGTAACGGCAAGATATTGAGCGGCATTTTCAACATATCAAAGAATTTAATGGCGGTAAATGCAGTCGAAACTGTCAGCTTGTTGCCGAGGAGAATATACGTTAAGAATGATAAGATGAAAATCGAGTTAGGAACGATATTCCATACAAGAGAGTAGAGCATATTGATATTGTGGGCTGGCATGACGGAGTTTAATGGTTAGGATACATTTGAATGAATTGAGCTGAGATGGAGACATACTCTTTGCAAGCCACTTCATCTCTACCATCCTCTGTTTAATAGCTTTCACAATCCATTTTTCTTCCCATACAAAGAACTTGATAAACCTAATCTAGAATTGGTAGGTTAGAATTTATGAGAAAATAGAGAGCCTGGGCCACTCACATCCCCAAAACCTCATCAGCCATTTTCATTCACTCATCTTTTGCAGCCAATATAGCTTTATCAATCTTTACCACTTGATCAACAAGCAATTTTGAGAGGGGAATTATGAAAATCAATGTTGCGAATCCTGCAAAAGCAGATATTCCAAACAATCTATATAGTTCGTATGTTATAAGATCTGAACGGTGCAAGCAAGAAAGCATAAAATTCACTAATATAAAAACACAACACAAAATAAGTTGAAGAGGCGCAATCTGAGATAGAAATTGTCACAAGGTACCAAAGGGAACAATAACATAACATACGTAAATGTGTGGCATCATCAATACTTGATCTTATAATTTCTTGGAATCAACTCCCATGAGATTCACAATTTTTGCGACAGAGGCACCACCCATGTTTTGAGGGTCATTCTCCTCTTTCTCCTCTTCGTTCTCATGTTGGGTATCTTTACTCTTGCCCTTGGAATCATTTCCATTGGAAGAAATCTCCCTAGCAGTATCCTCCTGCTTCGTTGACGTTAACCCACTCTGATCTGTTATATGTAGTGCTTTGTCATATATTACCACACTGAGCCAGGTTCCAATGCGGGAGATGGCTCTAAGAATCACAACAATATCAGCAAATTGGCAATATAGAATGTGTCAAACCAATCGAAATCCATACTGTCTTCCATACCATAAATACTGCAGATCATTCTCAACTTTCATAATGAAAAATATGAAGGTAAGAACGGCATATAAATATAGCATTTTGCGTGTTTCATTTTGTTCAGCCAGGGTTGAGCCAAGGTTTTCAAGGCCTACAAGAATACCCGAAGAAATCATGAGATTTTGACAGTCATCTCAGTGAAAAAGTACATATGATTCAAGAAGAATGACCCCAAAAAATCTAATAGAACAGATACTTCTGTGGAGACAAACTCGATGAAAAGATCCATGCCATTGCTGCATAGGAGACGGCGGAAAAATGTTGATGCAGGGCATTTGTGAAGAGCAAGGAAGTATGGCGTGTCTTCAGGGTTGATGAGAGATCCCATATGTCTTCGTCCCTAGAGAAATAAATACAGCAAAGAGAAAAAGGGAGGAAAAAACATACCCAAGGCGCTGTTTCAAGGATGAGTTGATGAGCGACTGGACCCCTATAGGATGTCAGTGTTCTAATGTAGCGAAAGAAATCAGTGGACACGTACAGTTGAAATTGATCCATGTGAAGAGAGTTGTATAATCTTCTGAAGATGTTCTGAGCTATCAAAAGTCTGCATCAATACCGTCCAAAAAGGTTAGCCAAATGACTCCCCACTTTATTATCCTCCACTTTCGGAATTCCCTCTCCACGTTCATGGGCATACTCACATCATCCCAATCAATATGCTAACAATTGCCAAATTAGTCCATTGCGCCGTTCTCTCCCATAGTGCTGTCCTATCCTGTATATCAACATAGAGTACCTCGTACAGCAATGTGCCTCCCGCACATGTGAGATGCACGATAAGCAATATAACAATGTCATACGGTGACGTGATATATTTTGAATCCCCAATGAGATGGTAAGATATGTAAGTCCATGAAACAAACACGAATAAAGGCGTGTATGGCTCGAGATTGAACGGATGAGCTTGGTGACGAAGGTTATAGACGAGGTTATAATGCTGAGAGCAAACCAGGTAACAGTCTCCAAGAAGGAAAGAGTACGTAGTAATATATTTTTCCAGATTGAAGAAGTACCTTGAAGCATGAAGTAAGCGTGTGCGGCCTCTTCTTCAGCTGTTGAGATGCTGGCGTGTCCATGTACCACTTTCGCGTCATCTAAAGCGAACTGAGCGTCGAGTTCCTCGGCCTCTTTTACGGTAAGCTTTGGCAAAAAGGCAACAAAGAAACTAGAAAAATGCTTTGGGATGGGGTTGGGGGGGCAGAAGAGGACGCAGAGAGCGGTGAGGAGGAAAGGAGGAAGAGTAACTAGGAACTCGGAGGGTAGAGCCATCACGAGACGGCCCCAAACAATGACAACGATGAAGAAAGATTTTCAAGGTGCCAAAGTAAAGATTGATAGGAACATACTGAACAGACATATGTATACCTGATCCCACGACCTTTCACGAAGGATCACATCATCGGCATCTTTGTTTGGTGACACAATCCTATTGCAGAATTTGAGAGTTCTAAAGCTAGACAATGCGGTTGCGCACTGTTAAGCCCCGTGCTTAAGTGTCACAACACGTGACTTCGTTTCACCTCTACGAAGCTTCGGAGAAGGTCACATACCTTCGGAGAGCTTCGTTTGAACTTCGTTCGACTTCCATCTTACTTCGTTTCGACTTCGCTTCTCATCCCGTCTTCGTATCTGCACAACGAACCCTTTGCCCACATCCCGACTTCTTCTTGATCCCGAGGGCAACACCTTTGCCCACAT